CAACCAAAAATTTTGACTCACCATGACATTAATTCGATATTTGTGATTTAGACCCAGATTCAGCTAAAACTGCGACTTATCATCAGATTCAATCAAAACTTCTGATATAACTTCATATGCGATTTAACCTTTGGTTGGGAGGAAGCTTGCAATCTAACTACAAATTCAGACGAACAATGCGATTTAGTTTCATAGTCTGCCGACACTTGTAATTTAGTTTGAAATTCAGCCGGAACTTGTGATTCAGCACTGAATACTGCCGAATGTTATGATTTAGAGTTAGATTAAGCCAAATCATGTAATTTAGCTTGATATTCTGCCGAAACTTCTGAATCAGCACCGAATACTGTCGAAAGTTATGGTTTGGCTTCAGATTAAGCCAAAACATGCGATTTAGACCTAGTATCGGCCGAAACTTGCGATTGAGCATCAATGAGTATTGAATGCTGCCGAAACTTATGATTGAGCTACAGGTTAAGCCAAAAATGCGATTTAAACCTAGTTTCAGCCGAAACTTGCGATTTAGTATCAGACTCAGCCGAAACTTGCGATTTAACCTTTGATTCGCCGGAAACCTGCAATATAGCCATAGACCGCACCACGCCCAGGTACAGGCGGTGCACCAGATCTCCCGGTCCCCCGAGGTTGGGCAACAGGCGGCTCAAAGAGGCCGCCGCCCTTTCCACCCGGGGGACGAGACAGCCGAGATGCACCGAAGCTCCAACTGCTGTCGAGGATCAGTCCGAGATACTTCATCTCGGACTTCATCTCGACGCAGGCATCTCCAGGCTGTCTGTGAAACCAGACAGCCCCGGCCTTCTCCGGGGCTATTTTTAGCCCCAGATCGTGGATCCTCGCGACAACGGCTGCCACCGCAACCTCTGCTGAACCCCGCGGTCCATTTCCCTCCGCATCATTCCGTACCGGCCCGAGTATTCAACCCACCTGTCCCGCAGGTAGGCCCCGATCACCTGCCTCAGATAGGGAGGCACCTGGTGCTCGATCAGGACCGTCCTAATGGCGGACCAGGGCAGGGTGTTAAATGCGTTGACGATGTCAATAGACACCGCCAAGCACATCCCGCCCCTTGTCACGGCATTGTCCGAGAGGGATTTGGGACGGTCGATCGCGTCGACCGTCGATTGCCCCTCCCGGAAGCCAAATTGGCAGTCCGCCAGATCGGGGCTGTCGCGGGACAGATGCCTGGCGAGGCGGGCAACAGTGATCTTCTCGAAGATCTTGCCCGCCTCATCCAGGAAACAAATGGACCGGTACGCGGAGGGAGAATCCGCAGGCCTCCCATCCTTCCTCAAGAAGACCATCCGACTTCCTTTCCAGAGTTCGGGGAATGTCCCCGACTTCAGAAGCCCCGAATAAAGGCTCCTCAGCCTCTCCCCCAGAACGCTCATCACAAGCAACCAGACCCGGTCGGGGATACCGTCCGGCCCCGGGGCAGTATTCTTGCCCCGGAGCCATTTGACGACCTCGGCCATTTCCTCCGGCGCGACTTCAAGATTCGGGGACCACTCAAAGTCGTCTGGCTCAGGGGCGGGCCGGGACGCCTCCCCGCTAATGAGGAATAACGTAATCGTCCCATTGCCATCTTGTATGGGCGCCCCCACGGATTTCGATTCAGAGAACCAAGGAAATCGCGCCAGGCCTGGTCCTTTGCCTGCCTGATGGCCAGCTGCAGGGCGACCACCTTCTCCCTGTCTCGCCCGTACAGCTGGGCAGCTAGCACGTCGTCTGCTCGTCGTCGTCGACGGGCGCGACCGTACTGGCGTCGCGCGCGGACGCACTCGGTGCGTAACTCCGCTATCGCGCGCGACCACCAGTACACTGCCTTCCTTGGGAAGACCCTGGTCTGGGGCATGGCGACGTCGCAAATCGACGTCATTGCGCCTCAGAGCCAATGGGCCTCCCCTTTCCCGTCGACTGGCCCGATCAGTGTTGCTGACCAGGCCGCGACGTGGGCTGCCGCCATCAGAGCGTCCTGGTCGAGGCGCTTCAGCGCCCACCACGGCTGAGGCGAACCCTCATCGGCGGGGCGACGTCGGGGTATCGATGGTGGGGCGGCGGAGAGGCCGATAATTATGTATCTGTGGTCAGATAGCGTCTCGACTTCTTCCGCCACCCTCCTCCCCGTAATACGGTGCGCGGCCGGGGCCGTTGCCCACGAAAGGTCAACGATAGACCCCCCGTTATGCCGCATGCACGTATGGACCGAGCCCGTGTTTAGGAGATGGAGCTCGAGTCCCACCGTCCAATTCAGCACCTCCCGGCCGCTCGAGTCAGTCCCGGGGGAACCCCAAACCCAAATCCCAAGTCATGGCCTTGGCATTGAAGTCCCCCAGGACCAGCACCGGGCGGGAATGGCAGCGGGCGACGCATCTCCCTACCCCGTCCAGGAACTGTTCAAACTCGTCGAGGGACCACCATGGAGGTGCGTATATCGCCACAACCGCGGTGCCTCTCCAATCGACGGCCAGGTATCCGTCACCGCGCTCAATGAGAGAGCACGGCCGGGACCCGGCCTCCCTGCCCATATTATCGCGGCGGAGCCGATCGAGTCCCCCATCCAGTGTGAATATTTGGGGACCCTATACGGCTCCGCCACGACGGCCAACCCGGCACCCTGCTCGGCCAGACATTGAATTAGAAGATCCTGCGCCCTGGCCGAGCAGTTCAGGTTGGCTTGAATTATCGGGCCCATGGGCCCCATTATTCGGCCGTGTCCATTGTCGTCACAGCCGCGGAAGCGGTAGCGTCTGGAGTTTTATTGGACCTATCCGCCCCCGCGGGCGCGACGGTGGCGTCAGTCGACACCGACTGCGGTCTAGTTCCTCTTTCTCTTCGGCTTATCCCGTATTGAGTCACCTCCCCTCGCTCGCCCCGCACTGGCGGGGCACACCCGGCTGCCGAGGCGGTGTCCGGCCGGCCTGCCCGCGCCTGCACAAAGCGGGCAATTGGGCGGGGCCGAACACTCGCTGACCTTATGGTCCCGACTGCCGCACCCGTAGCAGCAGTCAGACCGATCCTCGGCCGCAGTGCACCCCTGCCTGGTGTGGCCCATGCATGTAGTACTACAAAAGCCGGGCGCCAAGGGCCTCCACGGTGGCCCGGGTCCAGCCCACGGTGATCGTACTGACTACCGTCACTTTACGTGCGGCTGCAGCCGGACACTGGACCCAAAGGGTGCCAAGGCCCGAGGTTGGAGGACCGGATCTCGCCTGTTCTAATCTCCCCCTCGGTGCACCCACCAACACGGGCGATCACCGTGGCGACCTCCCGGGGGATGGTTGAGTCAACGAGGCCGCGGACCCGTAGATCCGCTTAATTTATGGGCCTCACGACTTTCGCCCCCGTTCCCGCCAGCGCGACCGTTAATTTTTCGGCGAGGGCCGTCGCCTTTGTGGCTCCATTGGCGCCGGGAACCTGCAAAATGAGGGCCCCGGTCACCGCCCGTTTCGGTCGCAACGAGGCGATGCCAATTTCTGTCAGGTCCACTTTGGACCTGGCAGTGGCCACCACCCCGCCGGTCGGCGCCATTATTGTAACGGCTGCCGCGCACGGCGGACGTGGAGGCAGGGGTGCCTTCTTGGAGAGCGTCGGGGCCAACCGTCTCGTCGCCCTCCCGGCCGGTGTGGCTTTGGCAGCTGCCGCCGGTTTGACGACGGCAGCCGCCTTTTTGGCCTTCCGACCAACCACCTTAGATCATATCTCCTGGGTGGGAGGTGCGACGGAGGACGACGCCAAGTCACCTCGCGGGCGAGCGGGCTCCGGCTGGGCCGCTTTAGCGGTCGCAGCTTGCCCCCTCTCCCTAACCATCCTCTTTGTGCGCCCCTCCCTGTCCGAAGACTGAGAGGGGACGGACGGATGCCGATTTTGCATCAATGATGGAGCTTATTTACGCCAGCAAATTTGTCGGCGCAACCGCAAGTGGGGACAAGGATCTTCTTCGCCCGGGACGTTGGTACTCTGGGGCGCCGACGATCGGCAACGGCACTGAGCCCCCCTCCGGGCCTGGTGATGAAGGCATTGTGGCAGCAGTCGATCTCGCCTCCACCATCTGAGGGAGCCGGGCCATCTCCGCCCGCAGCTCCGTCATTTGCCCCCTGAGGAGGGCATTTTCGGTCTCCAAAACCCGGGTGGCGTCGGTAGCTGACCTGACTGCCAGTTCTGACACTCCCACCCTGCCATTCAAGGCGGCCACCCTCAGGGCGCGAGCCAAGTTGCCCTTTAGCCCCTTGGAGACGCCGGAGATCCCGGCCACCTCGAACAGGCTCTCCAATATCGCGGTCGCGACATCCTGCGTCGGACGGTTGCGGAAATTTTTCGCGATTTCCGCCTCATCCGGGAGCGGGATGCCCGACCACGATGGTCTCGGCAGGGGGACACCCGGGTCAAAAATGGCCGCAGCCTCTCTTGTCTCAGCCTCCAGCTGGGAGGCATCGACCAGCTTATGTTTGGCCTCGGCGAGGTCAACATAGTCGCCGGTCGTCGGCGGCCGGCCCCTCTTTTTCGCGCCGCTAGTGCCCGGAGCGCTCTGCGACGAGAGGTTGGAGTAGAGCGAGGAATCGGAAACCTCCCCATCGCCGCAGTCGCTCCGGCCTGCCGCGGGCCTTTTAACGCCGCGTGTTGCGGGAAGCGTCCGCAACACCGGCTCAGCAACTCGTTCGAGACGCACGCTTAGCTCGCGTACGCCACGCTCCTCCCGTTGACTATCGTCAACGTTAATAGGGCTCCCTATAGCATTAACCATCGGGGGAGGGCTAGGGAGCCTACCCCATCCGAAGGGAGTCGTCGGATAACCTTCACTCGGGGCCTGCTCGCCCACACCCGGACACGACGGGCTTTGGGGGATCCATAAATTCTTCCTTGGTCGCCCTTAGTTTTCTCTGCTCAGACTGGACCTTACCGACAAGGGTGGCCCTGCCAGGAACCGAAGTTCCCGCCAGCATCGCTCCAATCTTCATCGCAGGTACTTAAGCCCCTATACCATGACAAGGTGGCGACCGCATATGAGTTACGATTTAGCCTTAGATTAAGCTGAAACAGGCAATCTAGCTTCAAATTCAGACGAAACTTGCGACTTAGATTTATAGTCTGACGTCACTTATGATTTAGCTTGAAATTCAGCCGAAATTTGTAATTCAGCACTGGAATTCAGCACTTAGATTTATAGTCTGCCGTCACTTATAATTTAGCTTGAAATTCAGCCGGAACTTGTAATTCAGCACTGGATACTGCCGAAATGATTTGGACCTGGTTTCACCCGAAACTTGCGATTTAACCTTTGATTCAGCCGTAACTTGCAATCTAGCTACAAATTCAGACGAAACTTGCGATTTTGTCTTAGAATCTGCCGTGATATTAAGCCAAATCATATAATTTAGCTTGATAGTCTGCAGAAACTTCTGAATCAGCATTGAATACTGCCGAAAGTTACGATTTAGCTTCAGATTAAGCCAAAACTTGCGACTAAAACCTAGTTTCAGCCGAAACTTGAGATAGAGCATCATATTCAGACAAAACTTGCGATTTAGCCTTAGATTCAGCCGAAACTTTAAATCTAAATTCAAATTCAGACGAAATTTACGACATAGTTTTCTAGTCTGCTGACTCGTGTGGTTTAGCTTGAATTCTGTCAAAACTTGTGATTCAGCACTGAATACTGCCGAAATTTATGATTTAGCTTCAGATCCAGTCAAAACGTAAGATTTAGCTTCCTACTCCAGCTAAACATATAATTTAGCTCTAAATTCATTTGAAACAAATAACTTAGTTTCAATTTCCGTCGAAACACACGATTTAGCTACAAATTCAGAAGAAACATAGGATGTAACTATAAATACAGCCGATGCTTACGATTTATCTTCAAATTCAGCTTAAATATAAAATTTAACTCTAAGCGTATCCAAAACATACGATTTACTTCCCATATCAGCTGAAACACGATTTAGCATCATATGCAGCCGTAATATACGATTTGGCTTCAAAATTTAGCCAATTCATACGATTTAGCTGCCAATCCAGCCCAGATCCCAGAGCCCAGAGTCCAGATCTCGGAGCACACCAAACAGCCCTGTACCCAGAACCCAGAACCCAGCTCACAGAACCTAGATCATAGCACAGTATCTAGATCCCCAAAGCCCAGAGCCCACAGGCCAAAGCCCGGAACCAAGAGCCCAGATCCCAGCCCAGGGACCACTGCATAGAGTCCAGCCCAGAACCCAGAGCCCCGACTCCAGCCCAGAGTCCAGAGCACAGAGCGCAATCCAGGACCTAGAGCCTAGAGCCCAGCGCCCAGAACCCAGATCCCAAAGTTCAGAGCCCAGATCCCAAAGTTCAGAGCCCAGAGTCCAGAGGCCAGAGCACAGCCCAGGGCCTAGTGTCGTGAGCCCAGAGCCTAGATCCCAGAACCCAGAAAACAAAGTTCAGAGCCCAGAGCCCAGAGCCCAGAGCAGAGTGCAGAGCCCAGTGCAGAGACCAGAGCCCAGAACCCAGAGACCAGAGCCCAGCCTTGAGCCCAGAGCCCAGAGCCCAGGGCACAGCCCAGAGCCTAGTGCCTAGAGCCCAGTGCCCGGAGTCCAGAGTCCAGAGACCAGAGCTCAAAGCCCGGATCAGAGCCCAGTGAACAGAGCGCAGCTCTGAGCCGCGTGCCCAGAGCCTAGCCATGAGCCAATTGCGCAGAGCCCAGCCCAGTGGCCAGTGCCCAGGACAATTTGAAGCTGTCTCGAGTCATCTCGAGCAATCTAGCAGCCTTGTGCTTTCTCGAGCAGTTTAGAGCTGCCCCGACGATTCTCGAGTTATCTCGTGCAGTCTCTAACCGTCTCGAACATTTTGAGCCAGTTTCGTGATATCTGGAGACCATCACCGCTCCGACTCTGCGGCTTCTGGCGGGTACCCAGAACCCCCACCTGGGCACCGTTCCCATCCGGGGTGAGTGACATTTAAATTTGTTACTCCACCTCTCCCGTCAAGGAGAAACGATCGCCCCTCTCCCAGCAGGCGGCGGGAAAATTGCTAAATAGCAAGAATTCTCCTGCGAACAAGCGGCCGTCGCCCCCGATTACGTCGGACGATTTCGGAACGTTCCTGTTCCCGCTCGGCGGCCTCCTTCCGCGGTATTACCTGTTCACTGAAGCAGGCCTCCGTCTTCCATTTCTTCTCGCTCTTCAGCATTACTCCAACTACGCCAGGAGCGATAGATCTTGGCCCACTTCGAGCCCTAGGGCTCGACGCAGCGCTGCAAAAGCGGGGCACACCTCCAGTGTACACAATTGCTCCAGCACATCTCATGTGCTGCGCCAAGTCCTCCTCCCCACCGCAGTGATGGCATTCCGCCGTCGCTTCCCGTTCTATGCGACACAGATACGTCTCGAAACAACTGTGTCCAGTCAGAACCTGCGTCGCTCGGTGGGTTAGCCTGCCAAACCGCCTTTCCCGTCACCCAATCAAGTGTGACAGGAGAGCCCCGGCGACGCGTTCGCCGGCGTGAGGAAAAAACTCCACACGCCATCTGGTCCACGCCAGACGCCGGGCCCGTAGCTCGAAACCTTGGACCGCCTCCGCCTCCGACAGGGAGCATTTGCTGGTCATCACGGCCGGTGCCCATATGCGGGCACCATACAAGACCATTGGCCGCACCACACCTAAATAAAGACGTCGCACTACCTCCGCGGGTCCACCGAGATTGGGCAGAAAGCAGCCAAGAGCGGCCGCCGCCCTTTCCACCCGGGGGAGGGAGGAGGCATAGCGGTCGAAATGTACCACGAAGCTCCGCGTCAGTCCGAGATACTTCATCTCGGACCTCATCTCGACGCAGGCTTCGCCCACCCGGATCCATGACGTAGCCGGTCGCCGTGACCGAGGCAGTCTAAACCGGGGCCTCAGTTTTCTCCAGTACTGTCCTCAGCCCTCGTGGATTCTCGCAACGACAGACGTCATCGCAGTCTTCGTCCGCCAGATGATCCTTTCGAATGTATCCCCGACGGCGACCACCCAGGTATTGTCCGCATAGCAGACGAAGGTGGCGCCGTCAAGCAGGGAGACCCCTAGAACCGCGTTGTAACCGAGGACTCACAGCAATGGGCCCAGTACGGGCCCCTGTGGTATCCCGCGATCCACATCCCTCCGTATCCTTCCACATCGGCCTTCGTCATACAATTCCATATTTACTGAATCCACTTCCCCTAAACACTTTGTACCTGTTACAAGGGCTACTAAAGATAGCAAACCATTCTGCAGTTGAAAAACTATACTCCAGTCCATTCTTTCTCAGATGGCTTTCCATTTTTAACCTGGTCTGCAAAGTCTGCCACGATATTATATTAAACTAATCATTGATATTAATAAAAATATTATTAATTAATTTTTTTTAATAACAGTAGCAATTTCAATCTTAAACCAATAAATTGCTCTCCTTTTTAAAAGAACATTTAGAGACTTGAAATTGTGAAATTTACCAGTCAGTATATAATCTTTTTTTTTCTTTTTTTTTTTATCGTGGGGGAAATCTGCTGGCCAGCACCCCCGCCCGCCCGGGGGGCGGGACGGGGGTAGTGCAAGGTTTGACCCGCTAAAACCCCCACGGCGGCCTAGGGCGCTGGCGATTACTGGGGGAGCCACGGGAACTCTTAACAGCCCGTGTGGGAGGGTGCGACCGGGGGGATGTGAAGACCGGCGAAATCCGGTCTTCCCCCTCTGGTTTGGGCACCCTCTGGGTCCAGTGCCCTGCTGCGGCCGCACGCAAAGTTGCGGTCGCCGGCAAACTGACAGTGGGCTGGACCCAGGCGACGGTGGAGGCCCTCAGCGCCCGCCCCTTGCAGTGCTACCGCTGCTTTGGCTTAGGCCACACGAGGCAGCGGTGCACTGCGGCCGAGGATCGGTCCGGCTGCTGTTTTGTGTGCGGCAGTCAGGACCATAAGGTGGCTGGCTGCACTGAAAAGCCAAAGTGCCCGCTTTGCGCGGGTGCTGGCAAGCCGGCCGGCCACCGCCTCGGCAGCCGGGCGTGCCCTGCCAGCGCGAGACGCGGCAGAGGAAGCAGGGGGAGGAGAACCACGACGGCCAAGGCGGCAGCCGCCGTGGCAGCTCCTAATAAAAAGGATTCGGCACCCAAGGATGCCACCGTCGCGCCCGCGGGGGCGGTTGGGGCT